CGGCTCTGCCGGTGTCCCGCCCGCGCGATGCTCCCGTCCCCTGTGGAGCCTCCCCCGGGCTCCGCGTTAAAACCGGGAGGGGGAGATGACCCCTCTGGCGGGAACCTTCAGAGGTTTTGGAGGCCGGGTTGCTGCTCGGGGGTCGGGTGCCCTCAGCGGGATGGAAGCCCGGTGGGGGGCCGAGCCCAGCCTGGCTCCGGGGGGGTCCGTGCTCCAGGTCGGATCAGGCGGCGGCCCGGCTGCGCGCCAGGCTGCCGCTTGCCCGCGGGGATGGAACAAGCTTGCCCTGGGCAAGCCAAGCTGGGCGGTGGGTCGGTCTCATTTTATATTAACGCTGCAGTTTTCTTCTGCTCTGTGTAAGCCTGGGGATAAAAGCCCGGGGCTTTACCGGAGACACCTGTTGGTAAATAGAGGAAAGAGCAGTTCTCTTCCACCTGGATGGAAGTTTTCTCTGTGGAAGGAAGTACTCTCTTGCTCTGCACAAGAAGATCAAGGAGGGGTGACCGAAATAGACTGGGGCAAGGGAAGTTTTCTTTGTGTCAAGACATTAAAGATGCTTTTATTAGTTTTTATGTATTAACATTCATTTTTTAAAGAGAAATGTGAAGTTCTGTAGGTACAACTTGGCAATATAAGAGGAATACGTTAACTTTTAACTTTATTATTGCCTCATTTCAGTCAATCTGTCAGAGTAGCTGCAGGAATCTATATTTATTTATTTGCTTGTGAAGAAGAGATCTTGTGCATGCATATGGAACTAGTGCAGATATCAGGTAATCTGATCTAAAAAAACTTTACTGTGTTTGTAATTAAAAAAAAAATTTGTGAATGTCTTTAGCTAAAATTTACTGTTAATCTCTTTCCCTTCTTTCATTCAAAATTTTAAACACCTGATTGAAGACAGAAATCTGGAGGAGGTCTGAAAGAACTTAAATACATCAGACTTCGACCAAGAAGACTCTATAAAAGAAGGATAAAAAGATTAGTGCCTCTGCTCAGGGAAGGACAGGGAAAATGCAGCTACTGTTCCAGCTTGTCAGCCAGTCTTAACGAGGTCAAACTGAGCAAGAAACATATTTCTGCAAAGGGAGGACGAATGCTTGTTGGACAATAACATGACCTTGTGGTTTTCTGTCTGCTAGTTCTACTTGTTCATGTCATGTCTTTTTTAATTTTTCCTCCAGGATTATTATCCAAGAGGATTTAGACCTTGCTAAAAAAGGTATGAATTTTATTTTGGCTGTATTCTTTCTTTTGTGGGCCACTGACATAAAGTAAGCTTATTTGTTTTGCCAGCTGCTCCATTATATCAGATATTTTTCTGGAAGAGAGAAAAACCAACAGATCAAAACCTTTTTTTCCTTCCTTGTATTGAATTGATAACTTTACCTATTTGTACATACTGTTAGAGGTATAAAGTAGTGTAAGGGATGTCACCTCCACCCCAGTATTCTTTATTGCTAGACTTTTCACAGCTTTTTATTTTTGTTCATCCTTTGCTGCATTTTTTTTATAGATCCTGGGATTTTTGATCTAGACGAATGCTAAATGCGTAAATATCTTTGTCAGGTGCATCCTCTTTGTGACATCCTTATATTCCTTTTTAAGTTAAATGCAGTTGTGTAATGGTTCAGGTTATATGAAGTTTTATTTTGAAGTATATTTTGCAAGATTGACTGAAGGACACATACTGGGAAAATGCATAGGTGTTTAACTTCTTATATTCAAGAATAATTCAATTGGAACATCTGAAAGTATTTTGTACGCCAGTAGCCTGACTTTTCTGTTCCTGAAATCTGGTTTTAAAGAAATTAAAGCCTTGTTTGTTTTGTTCTTCACTGTCAGTTAGGAAAGTGTTGTATTTTCCCTGTAAACTCTGTGAAATGCCTTTGTGTGATTTCCCTAGTAAACTGTTGAGCCATGTACAAAACCAAGTTTCCAATGGTAAATCAGACTTTATTCTGACTAAGAATTACACGCAGCACAGTGTGAGGTGTGTAATTAATGCAGTAACTTTTTTTTATAGGCTCCTTTAGCAAATAACTCTTTCCTTTCCTGAAAACTGATCTGGATCTTGAGATCTGCTGAGAGATATAAATGCATATATATTTACTTTCTTGTGGAAAATATAATTAGATTTTAATGATCATCTAGTATATTATACAAGCCAGATGATAATCTAGCTATTTTATATTAGCTAGGTATAGTTGTTTAACATCTTGTATGTGAGGATAGAAATTCTTATTTTGCTGTTCTGATGAATGAAGTAATTCAAATGAAAGGCCTGTGGGATCAGGAATTCTAGAAATAGTTCGGTTTGTTTTCAAAAGGACTATGAAGACATACTGAAATACTGCGCACTTGTTTTCAGCACACAAATAAAAGAGCCAGAACAACAAAAAGAGCCACCCCAGCCTCTGAAGCAGGCACTTGAGTGCTGTATCTTCCATTATTCTCCTGTGATGTGTGTGGAAGCATATCTATCACATAACATGAACTCATTATTTCACCATGATGACTGACATGATTAAGAGTACTTGTATCTTGGATATGTCATGTCAGAGGAGCAGCAGGGTTAGTTTTTGTGTTTTTCTCCCTACCTGTGTTTGAGACCTCAGGGGAAGAGGGCATCAGGAAATATTTGGGTAGTTGTTTTTTATATGGTTTGTGTTTTTCTCCCTACCTGTGTTTGAGACCTCAGGGGAAGAGGGCATCAGGAAATATTTCTGGGTAGTTGATTGTTTTTATGTGCTCAGTATCGGTCATATGTATGCTATATTGCAGGTGTATGTAGAAATATATCTGACTTCTTGTGAGAACATATGCAGTAGATACGAGGCCTTGGTTTTGTATTCAAATGCTTGCTGATACCAGTCTTCTCTAATGCTTCTTGAAGATGCCTGCTGCCTGTGATTCAGTGCTTGAAGATATTGAAGATATTGTGTCAGCAGAAGATTTGAAACCACATGATCGGCAGTTTGTAAGAAAGAATGTTTTTCCGAAAGTGCGAAAACGCAATTCACAAAAAAATATTCAGACAGATGACGATCCCCCAAGTGACAGGTAAATTCTTCCATCAACCCTATCTTGTTGCTTTTCTCATATCTTGTGTGCACTGTCAGCTTCTAAAAATAAGGTGGGAATTCTCATTATCTCATAATGTAAAATCTGAATACAAGATAAAAATGAGTAAAATAGTGTTTATAAAATGTAGTGATAATGAATAATAAATTGTAAGCAAATTTCTTGTCCTAGACAAGCTTTCTGTAGAAATCAGTTCTGACTGAGATATTGATTAATGGAGTAATCAGACTGGAAAAATGGTTCCTGTTACTTAAGCTTTTATGTGTAAAATATTTCTGAAAAATTGTCTGCTTCACCCTAATTACCTAAATAGAAGCTGAGCTCTTAAAAATGCAGTCCTGGAGTAGCCTTTTGACATCTGGAATGAGAAATATAAACAAAATTCTGAGAATCACAAAAGGGTTGAGGTTGGAAGGGACATCTGGAGGTCATCTTGTCCAAACACCCTGCTCAAGCAGGGCCACCTAGAACCAGTTGGCCAGGACAATGCCTAGATAGTTTTTGGGCATCTCTAGGGATGGAGACTCCACAACCTCCCTGGATAACCTGTGCCAGTGCCAGTCACCCTCACAGTGAAAAAGTTTCCTGATGTTCAGAGGGAACCTCCTGTGTTTCAGTTTGTGCCCGTAGCCTCTGGTCCTGTCACCGGGCACCACTGAAAAAAGCCTGGCTCTGTCTTCTTTACACCCCCCCTTCAGGTATTTATAGACATTGATAAGATCCCCCCATTTGAGCCTTCTCTTCTCCGGGCTGAACAGCCCCAGCTCTCTCAGCCTTTCCTCTTATGAGAGATGCTCCAGTCCCTTCATCATCTTCATGGCCTTTTGTTGGACTGTCTCCAGTACATCCATATATCTCTTGTGGGTGCATCCCATCAGGGCCCAGGGACTTATGTATGTCCAGTTTGCTGAAGTATTCCCTGACCTGATCCTCTTCCACCAAGGGTACCTCTTCCTTGCTTCAGTCTTTCCACCTGGTTTCTAGAACCTGGGATTTCCAAAGGCTATACTTTTTGTATGTACATCCTGCAAGTGATACAGTGAAACTTCTTTTGAACATATTGTTTTATTTCAGTGGAAATAGTATGCAATAACTATGGAACGTGTCTTTGCGTTTTTCCTTCTTGTGATTCCCATAAGAACAGAATGAACTTTCTGCTGCAGTGGAATTGATTAAAGTATAGGTAAACTCAGTTATTGATTCTAGTTTCTACTGCAGTTCAGAGATCTGGATTTTGGTCCCCTCCCCCATTGATTTCAAGCTGGTGGATAAAATTTCCCTGCATTATAAAGACAAAAATAAAGTATGTCTGGAATGCACAGGAGATTCAATTTTGGTTTTTTCATTAGTGTTCAATAGAGGTTTTACAAGCATAACAATGCACCTTTATTTGAAGCCCCATAGAAGTGCATTGACCCCATTCAGCCAGGAGTGTATGTACAGCTGAACTGGTGGTCTATAGATACTTCACACTAGCACTCCATACTTCTAAGTATTCAGGTAGTATATATTATCTAACAGGCTGTATTTTAGTGTTTTTGACCCAAGAAAGCACACTGAATGTATGTTGATAGTAGGAAGTCTAAATACATTGTACATGTGCAACGTAATGATCATTAATTTTCCATCAACCAATTTCTATTTCTAGCTAGGGGAAGTATCTTTAAAAAAAGAAGGGGGTGGGGGGGAGAAAAAAACCATGTGGGCAGGGCAAAGGATTGTTTTCCAGGATGTGTGTCATTATTGTACTGGCATCTTCAGCTCATTGGCACAGTTATCCCAGGAGTTTCAGTGAGAGCTTCTTGCAGAATTTTTTGTTGGTTCTTGAACCATTGTGTGCCAGCTCCATGGTGCAGATCTGCCATGCTGTGTCTGTAGAGAAAAGGGATACAAGCTTTCAGATGTTAGTGTGGTTGGTGGCAGGCTTAAGTTAAGAATTTATAAAGATGGCTTTTATGGAGGGAACTACAATCAATGGGTGCCATAATATCAAAAGGTTGCAGTTTAGCTCTAACAGTTTGTTTGCTCACCCCTCCTTCCAGTAGGTGCTCTTCCAATTAATGGAAGAGCAAAAGCGAGAAAACTTGTGGGTTGAGATAAAGACAGTTTAAGTGAAGGAAAGAGTAGGGGGAAAAAACCCCAAGTGATGCAAAAGCAATCACTCACCACCTCCCACAAGCAGACTGATGCCCAGCCAGTCTCAGAACAATGGCTAGTTTGGAAAGACCAAACCCCCAGTTTTTATTGCTGAGCATGATATCATCTGGTATGGATTATCCTTTCGGTCAATTTGGGTCAGCTCTAATGTCCGTGTTACCTCCCAACCTGTTGTCCATCTCCAGCCTGCTTGTGGTGGGGTGGAGCACAGTGGGAAACAGGAGGTTTTGGTGCTGTGCAAGCACTGTTCAGCAATAGCTATAACACAGGTGTGTTATCAACACTGTTTTAGTCACAAATATAAAACATAGCACCGTATGGGTTTCTGTGGAGAAAGTTAACTCCATGCCAGCCAGACCTAATACCCATTACACTAAAATCATACATGATGTTCTTCCCTAGCTGTTTTGGAGCTGCTACTGTTTGTGTTGCTTATTTTATGTTTGGAGCATTACAGCTAGTTGAGTTTGTTCAGTGGGCTTAAAGGGGAAGCTTGTTCATCTTAACTTGCCTTTTTCATTCATTTTTTACTTAACAGCATTATTCCTGGTGCTCAGAAAATCTGGATTCGCACATGGGGATGTTCTCACAATAATTCAGATGGTGAATATATGGCTGGACAGCTGGCTGCGTATGGATACAAAATTACAGGTAACAATATCAGACAAGTCGCATAATTCAGGTTTTTTGGGTGAATGTTCAGAGCTGTCAAGCTGTCATCAAATGGTTTTAGTCTTAATTACATTTTTTTTAAATCCCCCTTTGATCTCTTTCTGATTTGAAGGTGAGGAGGTAAAGTGTTTTCCCCGGATTAAGCAGAATGATTACTTCTGCTATGCTTTCTTTATACTGAAAGATGAGTGCTTTCAAAATAGTTAGGTCTTCCTGACAGGGCAGCCATCTAATAGGTGTCATGCAGTGCCTTTTGCGGGCTTTTTGCTTGCTAAACTTAATTGAAAAGTTTTTATAAGAGTGGAAGGGAAAGATTTTAATTCTTGGGCAGAATCTAGCTGGTTGTCTGATTGTAGTTGGTGAAGCCCAAGTGAGAGAGAGAGGAAGGAAGTGTGTTGTCACTTAGTGATGTTTGCTGTTGGAGCAGAGTTGAACTACATGTGAATGATCCTTTGTTTTCGGAGGGATGATCAGTATGGTGGAGGTGGGATGATATGGGATTGTATTTCGTACATTTGAAAAAGCTGAAAATGCTATTTCTCATTTCCTTCGAATACTTTAAAATACTCCCTGTCATCTTATTCCACCCCTCCCCACCCCCCAACCCTAAACAAAAAACCCTGAATTTGTGGTTTTGCCGGCCACATTTCGTCTCCTTAATGCAAAACTTGTTGAGAGAAAAGCTGTAGAAAGCTGAAAACGTAGACTGATGCCGTGTTTCAATGGAGAATTATCATCTGAATACTTTTGTGTAGCTTATGACTAGTCAAAATAAAAATTTAAATTTTATTCATTAATTCAAGTTTTGGTCTGTCTTGCGTTTAAACTTGCGTCCTGCTTGTACTGAAAGATGGCGAAGTTGTCTTTCCTGACACTTTGCTAGAAGTATTTTATTCCTGATTTCACAAAATGCTTGTTTCTTTTCTTGAATGTCTCATGATATTGTTAAACAATTACATCTCACTTCCCTTTTTTGCAGTTGATCTTTCTGTATTTATCTAAGAAACTAGATGCTGAATTATTTTAGGGAACCCAGGTGATTCTTTAATTAGTAGTTCAACTCTGGAGTAGGTATGCTCTTTCCACAGACAAGTGGAGTGCTGGTCCAAAAAGCCTTATTTGTGACAGCTGTTTGTGTAAGACTACAAATGAGTTCTCAGTTTTGCCTTGTTATGGCTTTCTTAAATTTAACTTCTCTTTACCTTAATTTCTGTAATGCATAGTGTTCTAGAAGCTACTTCTGGCTTGTCAAGATTTGGATGGCTAGCCTGTGCTTTTGGAATTTTATTGGGAGAAATGTGGGAAAGGTGGAGTGCAGCGAAGGAAGGAACTACCTAAAATTTTTGATACGTTCTCTGTTTAGAAAATTAAGCATTCATAACTTTAAAATAGAAATAGGTCTACATCTAGAATCTGAAACTGAGAACTAAAAACTGAATAAAAGTTGCAGTAGCTGGGACAGGAATACCTACAGAGTAATTTTGGTAACTGTATATGAAATTGACTGGTCATTATTAAATCGATGTCTAGATTTAGTTTATTTGTGTGTATGTATATACATATATTAAATCAAACAAACAAAAAAAACCTCCCAACACTGAGGTGGTAGGCAGAAATTACCAGTGTGGTTTCTTCTTTGTGAAATTAGGTAACTTTTTAAGCTGATATATTTAAGGACCTCTGGAAATTTCATTTTTGTTCAACAGGACAAAAATATTGGCTACAAATTCTGGCTAAAGTATATTTTAACAAATTAGGCTGGTAATGAAGGTTGAAATGAGGGCAAGAATTTGAAGATGGGGGCTGTTAATGAAGCTGGAACTGAGTGCAAGTATTGCAAGTATGGTAGCTGTGTGTGAGAATATGAGGTGGTGAAGAGAGCAACTGCCTTTCTGCTCAATATAGTGATGCTTCTGGCGACAAGTGCGTATGAAAGTGCTCTATTACTGCTTGGATTACCGATAATGTCTCTCGGGGTTTCACACTGGGACTGACCTATTTAATGTCTTTTATGGACTTGGAAGACAGGATATAATGTACCTTCAGCAAGTTTGTAGACTGTGCCAAACTAGGGGGGAAGTGGTTGATAGGCTGGAAACCAGTGCTGTGGTTCAGAGGCACCTTAACAGACTAGAAAAAGAGCTAGCGGAAACCATATGACATTTAGCAAAGGCAAATGCAAAATCCTAGGGTTGGCCTAACCCCAGCTAGTGGTAAAGGTGGGGGTGGGCAGACTGATTAGAAAGCAGCTTTGCAGGAAAAGATTTTGGGATTGAGGTAGACAAGAAATTGAACATGAGTCAGCAATGTGCTCTTGTAGCAAAAAAGGCGAACTGCATCCTGGGCTGTGTTAGTAAGAGTGTAGCCAGCTGGTCTGGGAAAGTGGTCCTTCAGCTCTTTGTTGTACTTGTGAGACAGCGTTTGGAGTGCTGTGTCCAGTGATCCAGCCTTGGCCCAGTTTTGGGCTCCCCGGGAAAAGAGAGTGTGATGTAGTGGAGCGAGTCCAGTGGAGGCCACCAAGATGGTTGGGGAGCGCATGGTGTATGAGGAGAGACTGGGAAGATTGGGTTTCTTTAGCCTTAAGAAGAGAAGGCTCATGGAAGATCCTAGTTGCAGACAGCAATACCCAGTAGGAGGGTAGAGAGAAAATGGAGTCACTTGCTTATCAAAGGTGTGCAGTGAGACAAAAGGCAACAGTCTTGCTCTTGACAAAGTGGCAGTTAGGATTTTTGGCATCTGGTACATAACTTAATTGCTTACGCTGTCCTTCTTTCCATAGAGGAAATGCCAATATAGAAAGTTTCCCAACATTTCTTGAGTGTATCTCATCAATCCCTTTTTAAGAAAGCACTTTTTTTTTTTTGTAGTAAGCTATCTGGGAAGTTCAGATAGAATGTCAAGAAGGGATTTAATCTCTTTTTGTCCTATACAGTGAAGTAGTTAGTAAGTATTGCTTAACATAATTCACATTTCAAACATTTCTTGAAATTAAACTTAATATTGTTTGCATTATGCAACCCCCCCACAAAAAAATGTTTTGCAAGAGCTGATTTCTAAATCAGTGCATCTCTCTGTTGCTGGAATTTGTTAGTTTAATGTAAAACATATAAACTTGAAGAAAATACAGAAATATTCACTAAAGTGGAAGATTATCTGTTGTCACAGCATCTTTGACAGCTGGTACTTAAATAATTAAGTCTTTTGATTAGCCTGTTTCCTATGTGTTCCTAAGTTTTTGAGTCAACAACACTTATTGAAGAGATGCTGGAATAAAGTTCTGATTCTAGGAAAGTAAAATGTGACCTTTACTTGCAGTTCTTGATTCATTGTAAGGGAAATGGTCAAGCACTCTTTCTATTGTCTTCTATGTAATTGCAAGATTGAAAAAATGTGGAAGAAAAGCAGCATCAGACAGACTTTTATTGCTAACCAGAAGTTGTAACAATGCAACCTGCCTTGTAAGTTGACTTAGCTGAAACTGAACATTGATATAATGATGTCTTCTAATTACAGAAATAAATTTTTATGACTTGTTGCAAAAATCTTATTGTAATTCTGTTCCTTATCCCTGTTTTGATTCTACCCTGTTCTTGATTTGAACTCTCTTCAGGGGATGCAGAAGTCTTCCCCCCCGCCCCCCCCCCCCCTTTTCCCCCCCCCGGGGGCAGAGAGACGCCCCCCACCTGCCGTGAACACGCCAAGACAGCGGAGCCCCTAAGGTGGCAACATCAACATTTATTTGAAAAGGGCATGAAGACGGTGCATTTGAAAATAGCGAGGGCTTCTTGGCCCTTTTTAACAACCCGTTTCCCCCCCCTGCCCTCGGCTACGCACCCGAACGCCACAGTGCTCCGAAATGCAGAGATGGAAACGCACACATGCACCCCCCCACCCCCCCCTTCTTCTTGCCTTTCATCTGTTTCAAAAATGTTCTTTCTGTACAAGCACCCTTTGTTGCTTTCAGGAGTGGCTATATCCAAAGGTGAAAACTGAGGGCTGTGCTACAGTTTTTCACAGCAAAGACTACCTCTGTCTGGGGAGAGAGGGCGCAGTGTGAATTGGCAATATACAGATAATGCAGTAACAGCAATACTGATTGAAAATCAGGAACTGCATCAGCTTAAAAAAAGGCAAAGGGAAACCAGCAGAAGAGCTGAATCTATTTTTGTATCCGCTTTTACAATGCGAAGGTAGGCAGTATTCTGAACAAATCTTGCATACCATCCTGTGGGAACACAAAGCTCCTTTGTTAGTCTGAGCCACACAGAAATGTGTGGACCAGCTGGTATCAGCGTAGGGCTGTACCATGTTACTTGTTCATGTTCTGAAAACAGTGTAGCTGATGGTGGCTTTACTGGTTCTAAAACTGGTTTTGGTTTCTTGGCAGCATGACTTGCTGTATAGTTTAGATATGCCTGCAGACCTACTAGAGTGCTCCCTTTGAGATACACCTTGGAGGAAGAAACTCTCATGGTACAGAGAAGTAATGCCTACTGTGAAAAAGGGGAAGTGGGCGAGCTGGGAGCGCTCAAATACTGTGAGCCAGATGATTGTTTGGGAAGGGAATTCAGTATGTGTGCCACTTAACAGTATTTTCTCTCTGAAAAATGGAACCGAGCATGTATAGTCAGACATAAAAGGAATTGACTTCTGCAGCGGATAGTCGTATTAGCATTTGTTGGCCTCTATAGGTTTCTGGTTCTGTGGAATGAATGGTTTTTGGCCCAGCCTTCTTGCATGCATATTGATGGATCAAGCAGTTAGGTATGCTTGTTATTTAGTAATAATTGTTACTGGCTTGAGGCTGTTCAGGTCCAAAGCATTCTCTCCTCAGTCATTGTAAAACATGCTGGGGGTGGAAAAGACATTACTGATGACTTACAAATACCAGAAGAATGAACAGTAACTTTTCCTTTTATGAAGAGGAGGCAAAACCTGTTATTAACAAACATTCAGCAAAAGTAAACCAGTAACAGCTT